TCTTCGTTTATAACTGATGCAAATTTTAATCGAAAGCCGCTTTTTCCTGATATTTGACGAATTTTTAAACACTGAGGGCGCGTGCACTTGCTGACTGATTATCCGCCTGGCGCTTTGCAAACTGATTTTCAAAAATGTATTTCTTAAAAACTAGTTCATATATGAAGGCGCTTGTCATGCCACGTGAAAGAGCAAATCTTCGTTTATAACTGATGCAAATTTTAATCGAAAGTCGCTTTTTTATGAAATTTGACGAATTTTTAAACGCTGAGGGCGCTTGCACTTGCTGACTGATTCTCCGCCTGGCGCTTTTCAAACTGATTTTCAAAAATTTATTTCTTAAAAACTAATTTAGATATAAACACGGTTGTCATGTTACGTGAAAGAGCAAATCTTTGTTTATAACTGATGCAAATTGTAATCGAAAACCGCTTTTTCCTGATATTTGACGAATTTTTAAACACTGAGGGCGCTTGCACTTGCTGACCGATTCTCCGCCTGGCGTTTTGCAAACTGATTTTCAAAAATTTATTTCTTAAGAACTAGTTTAGATATAAACGTGGTTGTCATGTTACGTGAAAGAGCAAACCAAAAAGTTTGCGGTGGTTCCAAAGACAAGAGTGCAAATGTTGATTCAAGATTGCAATCGCTGTACTGAAAATTGCGATGTTTCTTGGACTTTTACTTTAAAATGTCTTCATTATTCAGGAACTTCTGTAAAATCTTGCAGCTAAATTCGAAAAATATTTTTCGTCAACGAAACTTTTCTTTGGCTATTTTTCGGATAGAACCCAAATGGATAATTAATCAAATCTGAGGGGGAAAATGTAAAATGTCGTCAGAAAGTGCAAGCGCAGTCGATCACACAACTTTTCCGCAAACCGGTGCATTTAACGAAAAAAAACTCAAGAGACAAAAAACATTGCAAATTAAATAAGCTTCCAAAGACCACCTCATTTATAAAAAAACCCATCAAATGAAATAATTGTTTCAATTAAGGAGCTGGTCCTGACGTTTCGCTAGCTCGCAAGGTTGAGATCTTCAAATAAAAAACAAACGCGTTTTCTCCGAAAAGCTAATTGCCTGCTTGAGAAAACCAGAAACAATTAAAACTGCCATAAATATCTGCGGCTGTTTAAATGAATTCTCCTCCAAATTTGCTTAATTAGCAATAGAACACGTTCCAAGTGACTTTCCTTTTCCTTCACTTCGCTACCGATGGCAGTTTTCTTTCAATTGAAATTCCCCTTTTAATGAGCTGCAGGAATCTGGGCTCCAGATTTACGAAAACTTCGATTGATTGCACAAATTAATGCGTTGATTGATCGTCTGACGACATCAGATTTATGGTGGCGGGTTCTAGTTTTGGGATTACGAAAACGGTTCGACCTCAAAGGCACCCGATAAGCTGGAAGGCGGTATCGTATGTTAACATAATACAGCCTTGGCACACGCCAGAACACTTCTTGTATGTGAAATCCGATTTTCATCATGCAGTCTCGATCGAGAGACGATCAAGTGTTTTAATCATAAATTTCAGACTTAAACGTGGTCCTGAAAATCTAGCTTAATTAAGATTCTTCACTTGGGCAACGGCTAATTAATCACAAACATTGCCACATTGCTATCAGCGCAATTTCTATTCAACTCTTTTCTGTTTCAGCTCTTCTTGTAGGGTTCAGTAGCGGGTTGGGGGTGACCACAGGGGCGCACCGGCTGTTCTCGCACAAGGCCTATAAGGCGCCCTTTATCACCCGACTGGTGCTCATCTTGTTCCACACATTAGCTGGACAGGTAGGTTTGTCTTCGCCAGTTCAAGCSCAATAATCAGAACATTAGGCTGACGCGTTATGTAATTAATGGACGTTGGCTGGCTTTTTCTTGGGAAACACGACCCTCACCTATCACTCTCAGCTSGCGTGCTCCACTTGCACTTCCAAACAATTATTATTACCAAAACTACACGGTTTTAGCGTCTAAGATTTAGCTTCGCGTATGTTAATCAGACATCACAGGCCCGGATGATTAATGGCGCTTCGCATGCAACTTTTCGACGATTTTGCCCCATTTGGGTTAATAACACTTCTAGCAGTTCTTGGGGCGATTTTACCGGAGAATTGTCCGAGTTCAGGGTTG